TATATATATATATTATATAGTTACATATAAGTACATAACATTTTTCTTTTATAGTATCATCTTTGTTATTAATTTAACATATTTTTGTTACATCAGAAATCTTCATTAAGTAATATTCATTTATTCAAATAACTATATATCAACAAATATCAATATCCTATACAACTATATTATTTCTAATTTTTATATTAGTGTGCTTATTTTATATATATATATATAATATGTATAATATTTGGCATTTCTTAAAAATTGTCAACTTTTATTGTAGATAATAAGTTATGACTCACCAAGAGGCGGGGTTAACGTAGTCACCGAGAAAGGATTAGTTACAACTAGTCACCTTCTTATTCAAGATGCTAGAGTTGAAGATAATGGAAGATATCAATGCAATCCATCGAATGCCCAGCCAAAATCTATAAATGTACACGTATTAAATGGTAAGCATAATGAAATAAATTGTTCCCTTGAGAAGAATATTTCGATTAAGGTAAATATTCCCGTTTACCCTAAACGATGAAATGACAAACACTTAAGAAAAAACTAATACTGTAAGATTTCAATTGTTCATACAATCTGAAAACGTAATTTTATTTAATTATTAACTTTCTGGCAATCATATTTAACCTTAATGATTATTACTTAAAGTTTTTTTTGTAATAAATTATTTTTGTTGAATAAATAAATATACATTGTTATTAAGTATAAGAGACAATAAGGTGTATAAAAATTTTTATATTTAGAATTATAATAAAACTTTTTCAAATAGATCTATTATATAATGAGATAAAGATATATATATAGGATACTTTAGTATTTTAATCCCCTTGATTAACCCTCCTTTTGAATTTTTAAAATTACTTGGATTTTATCAACACGGGATAAAAAACAATTAAATCTAATTCTTTAAAATTTTTTATTTTATTATTATTTTCAAACAATTTGCACATTTTTCTTACATAATGCGAAGCTATGTTTTATTAGATTTAATTGTCCACGTTTAATTAATTCACATGTTTGACACTTATTAAATGCGCAATATTATCCAAGCAGTATGAATAAATGTATATCTTATACTTTTAATAAAGTTATAACATAAAATTTATAAATTAGCTAACGATATTTATGAATAATTTTTAATTTAGTAAAATCAGTTAAATTATTTTATATTTTTTAATATTTTTGGCATTACAATATTAATTAATAACTGTAAAAGCAATTCATGAAATAATTTACAATGAGGGCGCAATAGATTTTTCAATAAGTCATATCAAGGTATAACTATTATACATACTAAAATATACCTTTATTTTAATTAACAGGAGAATATCCAGCAGCGATGCAACATGGAGGTCAAGCTCATCAAAGAACGACTCACATGTATTGCCTAATATTTTTCGCGTGTATGCTTTTTCATCTGTAAAATGTATTTTGGTTTAAGTTTAACCAAAAAGTTATTTTTATTTGTATTACAAATAAAATAATTATTACAAGTTATTTATAATTTTCAACACTTAATGCGTTGAATATACAAAGTTAAAATAACTTATTTAAATTTGTCGCTCTACAAAATATAACAAGTTTTATTTTTGGTTACATCTTGTTAGTTTAAAAATAAGTTTGTGTATGTGTTTTAATAAATTGATGTATTAACTATCTCTAAAATTATTAACTTTATCTAAATAAAAGAACTTTTCCTCAGAAGAAAAACTAACCAAAAGTAGTACGGGTTTTTATTTTTTAGAAAAGGAACAATTAATAATTACTTAAATTGTTTATTTCAAAAAAGTATTATTTACCTTGCATTTTTTTTTTTGTGCGTGAATCATTTACCTTACGAGCACTTAATAATTAAGTATAAATTATTTATGAGTTAAAAAATTGTACTTTCTCATATAATGCATTATACTTTGAGCATTCAAAATTGTTCAAAATATTTAGATAGGAATACCTCAAAATATTATCAGACATACATTTTAAAACTAATGTGTTAAATGACTTACTAAATGAATTTCCATTTGTAAATGTATTGTATTTTAGGAAACGTTTGTAAATAAACACAATTATAATATTATTTTTAAGTGAAAATCATCATAAATAATTTTGTACAGTTAAAACTATAAATTGTGTTCGTCTTAAGTATTTATAAATGTATATTTAAATGTAATAATTAATTCCATAATAATTTTATATGTAAATTATTTATGTATTATATAGTACTTCTGCAGTATGAATTAAATATAAGTCATAGTTTTTGTATAAATGTTTTCAATCCCAAAAAACCATGAAAATTGTAGATGATAAATAAATTTGCTTCATTTCATATCTTTTAAAAATTTTATTTGACAAAATATAAAATAAATGAACAAAGTTATTTTAAAAATAATTAGTTGAAATAAACATATATTATATTTTCTAAAGTGTTTTACTCTTTCAATAAAAATGAATTATAAAAAAACATTGTTCAATTCCTAAAATATTAATATTTTATTGTACAAAAACAATTAACCCATATAATTGAATTTTTTTTTTATTACCTATGTAATTACTCTAATAAGAAAAAAATACATAAAATCCATTTAAACATAATATTCTCCTTATAGAATGTTCATTTTAATATAGGTATTAATTTTACCATGATGTATTTACCTATTTTTTATGTCTATAATCACATATTTTCAGCCTCATCGATGTTATTTTGTAAAAAATGTAAACCTTTTTATTATCTTTAATAAAATAATAATAATAATAATAAAGGAAGTACATGAATGATATTTATTTTAAAGCAGAAATTTAGCGTTTCTTTAAAAATGCATTTTTTTACAAATATTTGTACAATAGAAATCATTTAGATTAGTTTAAATATTATTATTAAAACAGTAACAGAAATAAATTAATATGTGTATTTATATTAGCAGAATAAAAAAACAAAATATGCTTATGACTATATTTTTCAAATTGTACTAAAAGTGCTAATAATATTGTTTTATAAATATGCCTATCAAAAATGTTTTTTTAATTATATTTGTTGTATACATATATAAATATATAATAATAGTTACCCATTAATGTAAGTAGAATAAAATTTTTGTTTGTATATTTACTCTGTATTCAAAATATTGTAAAAATTGTTATTATATGAAATAAATCATCGAATATAATTTTTAAAAATATTGAAATTAAAATAATAACGTTATATTAATATTGAAAATACTATTTACATAATTTGTTTATATACATTTATGTTAATATAATACAATAAAAATATTAACTTCAAAATTTAACTGATTATTCAATTTATTATTTTGTTTTTTTTTTATGTACCAGTTTATTTTATAGTCAAAAACTATACTTGTTAAATTATTATTTATCGTTTGTTTCATAATTTTTTTAATATACAGCCGTTAAAATTACAAAATTATACCTCCGTTTAAATAATTTTATTAAAAAGTTGTTAGACAAGAAACGTTATGCATAATAATGTTGTAATCACAATTATTATAAATGAAATTAACGTATTATAGACTCAAAAAATATATTGTTTAACAAAAAAAATGATTTATAACGTTAAAACATAAATAAATTAAATGTTTCATTTTAACAATCATATGCAGGTATAAAGGAGCCACCTTTTTATACATTCTATGATTATTCTGAGGGTTTAAAAATGTTAAACTTAAATTTATTACATTATATATATTTTTAAAAATCTAACATAAAAATGTTACAACATTAAAATGTTTAATAAGTTAAAAATTTAATTTTTATCTATTGAACATAAAACCAAATTATTTTTTGAATTAAATCGTGTAATTAACAAACAACGCTGCTTATCTATTAAGTTAAAACTATTTCGCCTAACATAATTTTAAATTAAATTATGTGTTGTCAACTTTAAAAATAATTTTTATTTTTGTATTAACAAAAATTTTTGGTTAATTAAAAAAATAATTTTTTACAAAACATACATTTTATGAAAACAAAAAAAATATTGATTTAAATATTTACACACATAGCTAAAACAGAAAAAATTGTATTCATATTCTCAGCCAGATTTACCGTATGAAAATTAATTTCAAAAAGATGACTAGATATATCAAGATATTTATTATTCCTGTTGGGTCACAAAAAAAAATCATATGTTTTTTTATAAGATGTCAAAACAGTTATTCTGTGTTAAAATATAATTATTCTATTATATTTTATAATTATTTTAATAAATTTATAATAATCAATTAAAACGAGTTGAATTGCTTGTTTCAATTGACCATGAATATTTCACTAAATCTGCACCTTTTTCGCCAATCATGTACGCTGGTGCTACTGTATGGCCTCCTGTTATTGTTGGCATAATAGAACAGTCAATAACTCTTAAATTAGAAATACCATACACCTTTAATAGCGGGTTTACTACTGCATTTCGATCCCATTCGGGTCCCATTTTACAAGTTCCACTCTGGTGATGCATCTGCATTGTAACTTGTTCAATACAACAAGCCCAATACTCGTCAGAGGCGAATTTTAAATGTTTACAGCCTGGCATAGGACGTTCAAACAATTCTGAGCGATACTTTTGAAACGCATGAGTTTTGCTGAGATCAATAACCATTTTAATTCCTTCAACAAGACGTTTTAAATCCATTGGATCACTAAAAAAGTTCGCATTTATGACTGGTTTTGAAAAAGGGTTGTCATCAAGCAATCGAACCTATAAAATTAATATGAAATGAAATGCGTCGATAAAACAGAACATTTTTATTACCTGTCCTCTACTTTCTGGATACATTAACATTGGCCATATTGTCCAAGAATCCTTATTAAAAGCTCCCTTGAACATTTCTTCATAAATGTTGTCGGGAATACCCATTGATCTTCTTCCAATACTACCACCTAAACCATCTTCGCCAGGTAAACTACCAGAAAGAAATATATATTCTATATCTGGAATATCTTCTTTATTAGTATTGTATTTTGTTTTAACATAACCAACTGCTTCGGTAGGTAATGTACTCATCCAACTATTTCCATTCAACAATTTAAATGTTTCCTGTACTGGTGACCTAAATATTCTATCAGGAACAAATGACACAGAATCATTTACTAAAAATGTCAATCCGGCATATGCAGGATGTTCCTGTAAGTTATCACCAACGCGCAAATCGGCTATAGTTTTAATACCTAATGACTCTAAATGTTCTTTAGGTCCTATTCCTGATAACATGAGAAGTTTAGCTGAATTAAATGTACCCGCTGATACAATTACTTCTTTTTTCGCTAATATTTTTCTTTTTTTATTCTTTTTTATAAATTCTACTCCATATGCTGATTTTGTTATTGGGTCGATTAATATTTTTGTGACAAATGCAAATTCAACAATGTCTAAATTGCTGATATTATCACGGAGGTACGCTTTCGCCGAAGTCACTCTTCGACCATTTAAGGTTGTACCTTGTATTCTAGAAAATACAACATGGCTTCCTGGAGCATTATAATCTCCTACTCTCATTCCTACTTCGGAAGCAGACTCTATGAATGAATCAAGTAATTTAGATTTGAAAGTATTGTAGCTTATAGGTAAAGGGCCACCTACTCCATGATGTGGAGATATTTTCAACTCTGGAATATTAACATCTTCGTTTTTTAAGAAATATTGTTTTATATCGTTGTAGGCCCAACCATTGTTTCCTGCTTCCGCCCATCGATCGAAGTCTCTTACATTGCCTCTTGTATACATGTTGTTATTTATAATTGTACTTCCTCCCAAACCTTTTCCAGCTGGCCATGGACATCGTTTATTAATTAGGCTTTTACAAGCATGGGACTCTAATTCTGTTCTATATCCCCAATTGTAATTTGTAAATTGTAAATAATGAGCAATAGCTGGAATAGAAGTTACTAATGATTCTTCACCTCCCGCTTCAAGTAATAAAATTTTCCATTCCGTAATTTCAGCTAGCCGGCGTGCGACAGTTGCTCCAGACGCACCGGCACCAACTACAATGAAATCGTACTCATTCAATAATGATTGATTACCAAATTGGGGATCTTCTTTAAACTTTATAAGGTTAGATCGATATGTTTGACCCAAAAAGTCTAAAATACCTCTTGGGGTGCAATTGACAAGTTGGTAGACCGTTCCAATTAAAAATAAATATTTCAAAAACATTGTTTCATAAATACCTAAACAAAAAAAATGAGTGTTGTTATCTGATATTTGTTCATTATTTAAGATAATTACTATTACTTTATTTGACCTTCTTATTTGAAAGAATTTTATTGAGTAACCAATTTGTATGAAATTGCAACTTTGTATAAATATTTAGAGTGTTTACTGTTGACCACTATATTTCTACTAAAATCATAAAAATTATACACATTTTTTGTTTTATTTATTTTTTTTTTTACTTATAAGAGATTCATTATTTGCAGGTCCATTCTTTATTCCATATGAGGATAACAATTAAGTTTTTTTTATAACAATATTCATATTTATCAATTCAAGATAATAAATGTACTAATTAATCAAAATAATGATAAATATACTTTTTATCATTTATTGATACTTCAATATAAAGATTGAGAGCTAGCTGCGGGAATTTTATTTTTCTTATTTTGATAAAATTTAACTTGTAATATAGTTAAATATGTTTACTACCATAAAAAATGAATTTAAAGCTCTTATAAGAGATGGGGTTGGCTTTAATTTCTAACGATTATTAGTTGAAATATAATACAAAAACTTTTAAATCAAAGTAAATTTAAAATTTGTAAAACAAATTTTATATGGCTAGAATTTATAAAAATATTATGATAATATATTAAATATTAATTTAATAATATATTAAACATTTACAGTATGAATAATATCGTATTTATCCTTAAAAAAATTAATTTGTTTAATTTCCTAATAATACATTAATATTAATTCACCTATTCTATAGCTTATTTGACATTTTAATGAATTATATTAATTATTTTCAATTAAATTAATTGGTAAACGTCATCCTAATTTAAAACCGTGTGATTTTATTTTCGAAATTATTCGTTTGAAATAAAAAAAAACACTATTTTTATATAACTTAGAATAAAAATATTAATATCTATATTATTATATAATTATATAGGTAATTTAATAACTCAAAAAATAATAGAGATATTAAAGTCTAAAAGTGCTTAAAATTTACGTTTATATTTTAATTGTGTATTTCTTTAAAAAACCCTCAAAATTTCGAGCTACACAGTTACTATGATGTTTTATAACCTCTAATTGATCTATTTGAATCAGTTTGCGATTATTATAAATTTAATACATATTTTATTTTTATCAAAAAATACATTTAAAAATATCTATAAATTTTACAAATTATTCTTAGGAAATAAGTAATTAAATTTATTTAAGTTTGTATACTGTACAAATAAATGACATTTAAAAGTATTCATTTTTCCTTAGATATGTACAATACACAGGTTCTCCTGTTACTTTATTTTTGAAAAAAAAATTAAGATGGCATAACTTAATTTTTTGATTGACAGTTAATGTAAAATTCTTACTCTAAATACAATTACTGTTTCTAATTGTGTTGTTTTATTTAATCTTTTACTATAATATTTTAACAAGTAAATAAGTCATAAGTTACTCAAGAAAAATAATTTTTTGTTTTACATTTTCAATGAAATTTTTAAAATTTTACAACTAACAAAATCACGAAAAACAAAATTAAAATTAAAAAAAAAAAATGGTAAAAAATAAACTGGTATGTTACACATTATAATTTTCTTTTATCTTATTAAAGAATAATAATAATGTTATATAGTTCATTAATATTTTTTAGTTAGATTGTTAGATTATTTAAAAGTTTTGAAATTTCGAATAGAAATATTTTTTAACTAGGAATTATATAAATAATTATTTCAATAAATGGATAAATTGCCTAGATTCTAGAGTATTTCAATATAAGAATGTTTGAAACATGATGATTGTAATATCGGTAGGGATTTTTTTAAATCTACTATGTGAATATATTCCAAACAATTAAAAACCTATACCAATTTAGTTTGAATAGCTAAATTTACAGACATTAAATATCGGTTTCAATATTTGACCAGACCTAATTATTAATTAGTTAGTTATATAATGTTTATAGTTTAATAAATTAGAAATTCCTAAATGAAAACTTCCAATTTAGACATTTTTAAATAAAGGTTATTCCAATAAATCCAAATTTAATTTAATGAATCCGAAGGTTATTTTGAAAAATATAGTTTGTTGATATTAATGTCTGCGGTCAGTCAATAGAAACCGAATTTATGTGCATCTAAGAAGTTTAAATTACGTGCTTTATCATAAAAAAAAATCCTTGAAATATGTNAATTACTTGCTTTATCATAAAAAAAAAATCCTTGAAATATGCATAACATTATTGATTTATTATTTATAATGCTATATGGATTAATGTGCGAATTATAACTTAAAATATATTTCATTGATAAAATTAGGGCTGCTTATTAAGATTTTTTAAAGTTAATTTACAATTCCTTATATTTTATTAGAGATAGTGTAACTTCACCTTGATATTTTTATATTTATTTATTTTAATTAAAAAATTTGTTCTACATAAGGATTCTACTTTATTTTATAAATAATTGAGTAGTTTGAGAAAGACAAATCACCTATAAAATAGTACCTACATAAAAACATTATCTTATCATATTTTCTTATTTTTCGTATTACTTTTTATGGAAATAGAAAATACACCTAAACTCAATCCCTTACAAAATAAAAGTAATATAAGAAACATTTTTTGACGTTTTTTAAGTCATTTTAGCTTCTATACAAAATTGAGAAGGTATTAATTTTACAATGATGTATTTATTTATTGTATTTTTTATTCTTTTTGTGTTCGACTACTTTTTCTCGGCTTTCATTGGACTGATTTTTCTCAATGATACTTCAAAAGATCACAAATAATATCTAGTTGAAGACATTAACCTCGAAAATTGAAAAATTTTCCCTCGTTCCCCGTAAATGGTAAAAATCCCCCAAATAATTACAATTTTTTAATTTATCAATTTTAACATTTTTTTAAAATAAAAATGCAGTTTTGGTATTAAAATTACGATTTCATAATTTAATTTTTCAACTTAAATTACTATAACTTTTCGAAAAATGTATGGAACATTAAAATATTTTGTTTCTAAATAAATTATATATACATTCTTTTCATGCGAGATACGTTTTTTTAAATCGGACAATTTTCCTTTATACAGGAAGGTTAAATTTTAAAAAATACGAGTAAAAAGTAAAACTCTTTTTACTTAACTTTTGAAAGTGTTCCGGAAATACTACGAACTTTAAATGTATGTCACATTATAACTTACGATATGTGCACAATAGACAAACAAGTCTCAGTGCATGGACATTATGTTCACCTTACTAATAACTAAAAAAAAGTTTACGATAAATACTATAAGCTCAAAAAAAATAATTTATACCGACACCTTTTCTTCTTAATGGCCGTCAAATTTAATGAAAAATATAATTTTTATGTAAAAATCACTGTTAAACATTAAATATTTTAATACTTAAAACTGCCATAACTTTTTGAAAAATAAACAAATTAAAGAATTCTTTTTTGTATTGAAACCTTAAATGTTTTTCTTTTATTTGATATACATTTTTTTAAATTTGACTCTTGACCTGCCCTTAAGG